ACTCCTGCTTGGGCACCTTTAAGTCTCTGTGGACGATGCCATTCTCATGAAGGTATTTCACTGCTGACAAGACCTGCTGGATCACCACACTGGCGTCCTTCTCCGTGTAGACACCTCGCTCTAGGATCCGGTCAAAGAGCTCCCCACCAGAGACACTGTGGGCACAGGGGCAAAAGAAGAAATTCAATTCTCAATCAGGTCAAAGTGCTTGCTCTGTAGCCATGGGAGACATAGTTGTGATGGGACAGGCAGGTGCCCATGAGCTGTGATTTGAGAACACCTCCTCTGGGCACCTGGATGATATCACCAGGGGTCATTTCTTTAGGCTGAACCTTGGCTTCCCTTTGGAAACTTCAAGATACAAATGCCCTTGGTTGGGGCTGCATATGAAGCCAATGATCCCTTAGTGCGGACACAAGTCTTAGCTGCCTTCTCTCCTGTCCTAGAACCCAGGAAGCTATGATCAAACAAAGAGGTCACAGCAAAATCAGGCAAAGTAGGAAAGAAAAAGTGTGCAAATGAGGCAAATTTTGCTTGTATCAGGATTTCTTTTCTCACTTTTGAAAATTGAGCCACCTAAAACTGGAATTATGGGTAGGGTTGTAGGGGTATTTTGAGACTCACATGGTAAAGTATCTCAGAATTCAGAGAAGCTTCAAGTCCAGCCCCCATTTCTTGAATACCATCTATGCTATTTTTGCATGGAAGTTTTCTAGTCAGTCTTGGAGAGTACTGTCAGAGAACTCATTGCCTCCTAAGACAGAGTGTTGCATCTTTTGGCTTCTTCTTAATATTTCTATATATTGTGTTGAAACCTGATACCTTATGGTTTCTACTAGCAGATACCAATTATACCCACTGGGACCTTACAGAATAACATCCATTCATAAGACGCTGAGTACGGAAAGACAGTGCAATGCTCTCCTGAGGCCTTCTCTTCTCCAGGATAAACATCCCCCAACTATTTCAACCTTGACCCAGGGGTCCCAGTCTTCTCACTACCCTTTCCCCCCTCCCACTGTCCTGTGATAGTAGATGTGGCCATGCATGCCTGATAGTGCCACGTAGCGATGAAGGAATAGAATTTCTCCAACCAGAATACATATCATCCTGCCTTAGGCTTCTGTCTCAGGCCCTGGGCTCTGCTATAGGAGCTGGAGGCCCACAGAAAAGATGCTCTTTTACATAGTTATGAATGCCTGACCCTGAGCAGCCTGGGTCCTGGAGGCTTGGTGGCTCCTCAGAGGCATCTCAACCTACCCGCCTCCTTGCTCCCCTTAGCCTTCTGAGTGACCGTGTGCTAATCCTGTTGGATTGACCTCTGTTGGATTGGCCCATCTGGCCCCTGCTCACTTGTTAGTGCGGCTCTGGGCCCTTCCCAACTTATTCACTTGACTATCTGCTACCACTTGTCACTGGGCCTCGGGTAAGCCCAATAGTTAATCAGCTGTGTAGGCCTATCTCATTAAAGATTCTGATGAAATATCCCATCAGTAAAAAACTATATTGCGCTCAGCCATGCTGTGATTGCAAAGAGGTGTGTGTGTGTGTGTGTGTACTTTATAAATACAAGTGTCTTTGAGCTCAAGGCTGAACTCTCAGGAGCACCAACTAACTTCTACAGCAGTCACCGCCAGGCAGAACTCTTATTTGGAAATGGGAACAACCAGGAGACCTCACTAAAGAAGTGACATTTCTGTCCTACAGATGGACACGCTATCACAGCCTATTTTTAACTTTGGGTGGCTCTTTCTGAAAAAGTCTTTCTTTTTATTGAAATCTATCTACCTGTGGTTTCCACTTGTACAGCAATTTTATTTTGGAGTGATGTTAAAACATTTCCTGTCCAGTTTAATTGAGCAGTACTGGACAAAATGGACAAGCTGTAGAGCTAAAAAGAATTCTGGTGGCTCTCTGCTATGCCTGGCATTTCCACCTTTGCTTGCTGGGTAGTGAGGAGGTCCAGAAAGTTCCAGGGGAGGGGTGGGACAGCAGAGAAGCATGGCGGGGTTGGGGGTGCAGCTATTTGCTGACTGGTAGGAAATATTCTAACGCTGCTAAGGCCCTTGGCCCACACAGAGGCATACTGAGCCGAAGAGAGCTCTTAGCATTTCAGAGTCTCCTGAACTAATTCTTGAGTGTGTCTTTGACTCACTGTCCTTCCCTCAGCACTGATCGATCTTCCCTGGGCACCCCCCTAGACCTCTGCGGAGGAAGCGGGGTTGCCTTTCACTTACAGCTGCATGACCAGGTAATAGTGAGTGGAGCTCTCGTAGATGTCCTCCAGGGTCACAATGTTTTCATGCTTGATCCTGGGAAGAATTAAGCATATAGTAAGAGGGGCATGATTCAGGTTGTCCAGACAAACAGTGGAGACCCAGCCCAGAAGTTTCTGTTGGAGGCTTCTGATGGCAATGTTCAGGAAGCCCGGGTCCTTGTGAAGCCTTCATAAGAAGTAGGCTGTCCCAAAGTGATCCAGAGAAAAGATTCCCGGGGTGGTACACAATCCACGCTTATTGAATGCATAGTTGAACATTCTTCCTTTAGGGAATGGGAATCTCTTTGAATTTTACCAAAAGAGAGTGAAAAGAACTGAGAAAGGCAAAGGGATTACTTAATACTAGATTATTTATGGGTATCCAGGATTTCTTCTGAAACCTCACATGAAGAAAGTACAGGTTAGTATCCCTTATCTGAAATGCCTGGGACAGAAGTGTTGCAGATTTAGGATGTTTCTGGATTTTGGAATACTTGCATATACATAATGAGATATCTGGGGCATGAGACCCAAGTCTAAACATGAAATCCATTTATGTTTCACGTATACCTTATACACATAGGCTAAAGGTAATTTAAACAATACTTTTAAGAATTGTGTGCATGAAACAAGGTTTTGACTGCATTTTCACCGTGACCTGTCATATGAGGTAAGGTGTGGAATTTTCCTCTTGGGGTGTTGTGTCAGTGCTAAACAAGTTCCAGATTTTGGAGCATTTGAATTTTTGATTTTCAGATTAAGGATGCTCACCTGTATACAGCAGGAGGGATTTAGGTGAGCTGAGCATCCCCTTGAATGGCCGTGGAGGAAGTGTGGAGAAATCATTGTCCCAGGACATTGTGACAAGTAAAGTTGATGCTTATTTGGGGGGTCAGTTCTGCGGGATGCATTAGATTGGTGACTCGGGGCTATTTTGACACTCAGAAAACATTTGGCAATACCTAGAAACATTTTTGGTTGTCACAAGTGGAGCAGCTGAAGGTACTACTGGCATCTAGTGGGTAGAGGCAGAAATGCTGTCCAATAATGCACAGGACAGCCCCCCACAGAACAAATGATCGTGTGCTCTAAGGCGTTAGTAGCATCGTGGTGGAGAAACCTGGCCCTAGATTATTACCCTGCTCCAGGATTACTCAGAGACTGAGGGAAGCAGAATAATCGTAATAACTGGGAGGCGTGGCTTGCAGGGCAGCAATACTACGCATGCCTGAGAGGAGGCAAGTCTCTAGGAAGTTTACTCATGGCTGTGCAGCACATAGGGTAAGAACTTAGACTTGGAGTCTGTTGGGCTTGGATTCAGATCTAGCTCAGGTACTCACATGTACTAATTAGGTAATGACTTCAGATGGTTTATTCAAATTTTTTGAGCCTTATTTTCCTCGTCTGAAACATTTATGTGTCTCAGAGGGTTACATCAGGATTAAAGGAGATAATTCACAATGCTTAGTCTCGTGCCTGGGGAAGAGTAACCGTACTCAACAGCAGCTATCTTCTTTAAGATATTTAAAAAATACAGACCTGTTGTAGTGGTTGCTTGGTGATTCAACTATGCTCATAAGCTGACCATGCTAACATTAGTTTATTGATTATTCACTCACTCCACAGAGTTTATTGAACACTTATGCTATTGATATGACACAATGATAAGAAAGGCCACATGGTCCTTGTTCTCAGTCTCTGTCCTCATCTCCCTAGAGCCCAGACCTATGTCTTCAGCATCTGACTGGACAGCTCCATGTATGTGGACACCTATGTCCAATATGTTCCAACCCATTTCTTTCTATTTCCTCCACACCTGCACATCTATTTTATTCTCTATCTCAAGAAATTGATATTAATTGATCAATCCCAGCATCATTTTTAGTGCTTTTGTCTTTTACGCTTTTACCAAACCCAATTTCTTCCCTCTTTGAAACATCCCTGCTTCTAGCCCTGTTGCCCACATATGGTCTCGCCACTACCTTTGCTTGTATTCTCATCTCATGCCTGGATTACCATGAAAGTCCTGTAATTGGCCTCCTGTTCGCTAGGCTGCTATCCTCTGATCCATTCACCAATGCTTAAGAGAGATGGCTCCAAAATACCAATCTGACCCACGCGACTCCTCACGTAAAATCCTTTGAGGATGTCTCTCGCCCACAAAGTAAAGCCAATATTCTTTATGACAACATCTAACATCCTTTATAATCAGGTCCCACTTCATGATTTGAGTTTCAGTTCCTGTCCTTTGATGCCATTTGCTCTAAGTCTGGAGACTTCCAGGACTCGCTCTTCCTTAACAGCTTTGCGCTTCCATGATTCTATGTTAAAGCTTATTCTGCTCTTGGCCTCAATTTCCTTTTTGCACTGACCTTCTTGTCCCACAAAATTCTACTCACCCACCAATGTCCTTCCTCTCTGAAAATGTACATAATAACCCATGCTCATAAAAACACACATGTAATGAACCCCTGTCTCCTCCAAATTCCATCTAGTTTTGACTTCACATCTGATGGGATTAGAATTTGTTAAGGGCATCTCTGTCTCCACCTGGAAAATGTGGGCTCCTGAGGGTGAGGAATTTTGTCTGCCTCATCCTTCTGGTCCTGGTCCTGTGTTCCTGTGCCGAACACACTCTTGGTACACCACAGGGGTTTCACAAAGGCTTGTTGAGAGAGTCTTACTGTAAACATTTGGTGATCTGTTAGTGTAGTGGGATGCTGAACCTACATTTGCTTTGGAATAAATTGAGGCTAATTTCCAAGTTTTATACCTCCTTCTTAATTATTGATTCTTTCTGATGTTGGTCCTTAATTGATTTTTGTTCCTTTGAGCTAATTACTCTCTGTGCACAAACCAGCTCTGTTTGGCAGCTCTGCTACCAGGGCCAGTGGGTTCACTGGTCAATTTGCTGTCAACAGCCACCACCACCCCCCACCCCACAAAAAACCCAACTCAGCCAGGAAAGCAGCAAGCAGCTGTCCGACTAAACTTAACTGGCTGACAAACTGATCCATCCATCAATCAGAGGGAACAGTGCCTTTGGTTGTGAAGACCCAGCCCCAGTCCAGTAATTTGCGAATGAAATGTTATGATCTCACATCACACGGGTGGCCTAGGACCCACTCACTTTTTCAGCACAGCGATCTCGTTCTCCAGGCTGCTGTCTCGGAAGGCAGGGGACTTCTTGATGCACTTCAGGGCGAAGAGCTTCCCAGTCATCCTTTGCTTCACCAGGAAAACTTCTGAAAAAGCTCCTCTGAGAAGACACCAAAAAATGAAACTTAGTACTGGATGGCTAGAGGCAAAGCCAAAGGGTAGATGAGAGAAGGTGTGGCTGATGATTACTGTCCATTGTCACATGGGCCCTGCTGGGCAGTGTTGATGGCAGGGACTCTCTGACATGCCAGTGCTCTCTCTCCTCCCCTACAGAGTTAGGGACTACACAGTTGCTCTTTCCTGATTATGTGAGTTGGAGACAATTCCCAGAGACTCTGGTTTGGCTGTGGAGAGATTTCTCCTCTTGGAAAGGCCGTTTGAGAGAGGCCACTGTAGAGTCGGTCCACATCACTTGTAACGTGGAACAGGGTGGCATGCTGGAGTGGTTGTTCGGAGGTAGTGGTGGGGACAGGGCTCAGACCCAGTGAGAGAGAAAAGACTCCTGTATCAGTTTTGGGTGGTGATTATCATCCTGGACCAATTACCAGAGGACAAGATCGCTGAACATCCTGTCATTCATTCACTACGACCTGCAAAGAGCAAAGACCCAGCCCAGTGGTCTCTGAGGCAGGCTCTGAAGACAGAGCAAATGAAACTCAATGGGAACACAGGCTAGGAGTCCAAATTGCAAGTTTCTTGGTTTGACGAGGATCCCCTGGAGACTAGACCATCAGAACAAAGTTAAGCTAGGGGTGGAGGCTAAAGTCTGGTTGCCCATGTCGGAATCTCAGCTTTTAGGCTAACAAGTCACTTAACATCCTAAGGAGTCCTACTGTCCTAAGTAGTCTGCTTTGTATATAAATTAGGAAGAAGGTGCCTTTTTCGGTGCTGTTTCCTCATCTGAAAAGTGGGAGTACTGATAGTCTGATTCATAATGTTGTTCAGAAGATTAACTGAGTTAACATATGCAAAGTGCTTACAAGTGTTCTTGACATCGATCACAACCATATGTGTTGGATACTATTATTATCATCATCATCATCATTTGAATGCCATTACAGAGAGCACCTAGGAGTACAAGAGCAGATAGAATCTAAATGAGAAACAGCTGAGCCGTCCTCGCTCTCGCCATCTGGGTATTCTAGAATGAAATCCCGAAAGCAGTCAAGCTTTTGTAAGGATGTTAAAAATCTGCATTAAAAAATACTTGGTGTTTTCTGTTTCCTCCAGCTGCACCAGGAACTGAGTTAATCAGAGCCTTCCAAGCTTGCTCTCATTTATCCAGGCATTCATTCGTCCCTTCAACCAAGATTTGTTGAGCACTAGTGAGTCTCAGACACTGGAAATAAAAAGGTAAGTATTTCTGTTCTTGAAGAGCCTACAGCCTATTGAGGAACACAGACAAATAAGCAATTAGCATTTGATTTCAAAAATGCTATCAGGCATTCGATGAATGTTTGTTGAACTGATGGAATTTCTGTGTCAGGCCCTGAGAGTAGTATTGGTCTAGCTTAGAATCCAGTGTGTGAGACCAGCACATGCCGATAAGAATGATGAATTAGGAGACCACAGAAAATGGACACTGAAGACGGGGCCTCTGCTATGGTCGGGTAGGTTGTGAACCGCATGACTCCAGCAGATAGATGCCATTCACCTTGGAGCTACTGCACGTGTTCATATGATAATTATTACACTACCCCCTCCCCACCCACCAGCGGACAGCCAGCTAGAAAAAAGGGCACTTCTTCCTAATTGGTATAAAGTGACTACTTAGGACAGCTGAGGGGATACTATACAGAGCCTCCTGACTTAAGAACACATTCAGCTCAGTTTTAAGGGATAAATGATGAGTTAGCCCTGTTAAAAAAAAAAAGAGAGAGAGAAATGATGTTTCAGGTAGGGGTGAGAGGAAGCATGAGAAAAGCCTGGATGTGTGGAATAGCAGGTAGGGACGAGGCAGCCAGAGTGGCCACCCAGCACTGTGTGTGCAGTGTGACACACGGAATGATGGGAGATGAATGGGGATGGGTACCAGGTCTGTTTGCACTGTGACGTACAAGGATCCGTCTCTGGAGCTCTTCCTTTTCCCTGTATCTTTGGAACCACACGTGGATGGTTCCCTGATTTTGAAGCTGATAGCCACTCTGTGTCCTCTTGTGGAATGGAATCAAATTATGGCCTTTGGTTTACCCCTAGAGGGTACCACACGCACTGTGCTATACGTAAGTGGGCCCCCTAGAGTCGTGCAATGTCAGGGCAACTTAAAATGCTGTGATTGTTCTGCCTCAGGCTGCTTTGTTCATATACTGTGTGTTTGTTGAAGTGTGTGTCATGGGGGCAGGGGCAGGGGACCAGAGGGTTTAATTGTGTCATCTTCCAGGGTGGAGAGATAGAGAATCAGTTTTGAGGGCACAACAGGCCTTCAGAGCCAGAAGTATTTGCTGCGATAGGACTTGGTTGCATTTCTTGCCCTAAAGAGCTCTCTATTCTTACAGAGAACATGATGGTAGAGGAGGTAGGAGGGCACCAAGGGGAAGCAGCTCTTCCTGGGTAGTGACTGGAGGGGGCCTGGGATGTGGGTGACTCAGCCCCTGCTATGGACTATCATTGCACAGGGCCCTGGAAGGGTGGGTGGTGTCTGGACAGGTTTAACAAAGGCCTATTCTCCCTGGAACACCATCCCAGAAGAGCTGAGGAGCAGAGAAGAGACCCCCATCAGGGGATGCTGGTGAATCCTGATTCAGCCCAGTCTGCTCTCCCTATGGCTCTGTCTCCACTGCACCTCACTTTGGCGACTCTGTGGGGCCTGCAGCCTGTGGGTCCCTGTCTCCTTCCCGAGCACCACAGAGTGTCTTCTCTTTACTATTTGCTCAGCCCTGGTTCTGTGGCTTGTCCCCTGTCTTGACCTCTTGCTCCCCATAAATCATTGCTGAGCTGATACACTGAAACCACCAGACACACTTAAAATACAGATCCCTGGCTGCTAGGTCCTATCTCTCAAGATTCCAGTTTAGTAGGCTTGGGAATGGGAGTCTATTTTTCAAAAATTACCCAGGCTAATATGATATTGAGGAGTTGTTATTCATTTTCTGGAGTGTGACAATGATATTGAGGATATATTAGAAAATGCCTTTACTCTTGGCAGACGCAGACAGAGGATTCAGAAGTGCAGTGTTGTGATGTTTGCCTTTATTTACAAATAGCTTGGTGAAATGTGTGTGTGTGCGTGTAAAACAAATACTGTATAATGAAATGCTAGTAATTGTTGAATTGAGGCAGTGGGTATGTTGGTGTTCATGGTCCTAATATTTCACCTTTTCCTTGTTTTAAACATTTTCACTGTTAAAGGATGGAGGGACAAGCTCTCCCGGTGACTCTGATGATCCTCTAGGGTTCGCTGCTGCAGTAGATTTCACTGGGCTCCCAGAGGGCAGCCGTGTCTGTCTTCTGGGTCCTACAGTACAAATCTAACAGACGGTGAATAAGCTCTTGTCAACCTGGGCTTACTTCTTTCCTCTTTTTGGGATTTTTGAAATACTTAGCAAATCTTTTCTGATTCACCCATGAGACTCTCTCTCTCCTGCCCAAACTCCCTCTCTAGCCACCTGTCTGGGCAAAGGCCCCTGATGAAAGGCTGTCAGTCTGATGACCAGCAGGAATCTTTTGCATGTGCAGCCATTGCTGCCTGAGGTCATTGCCAGCTTGCTGGGGCAGAGTGGAGCAGAACTGGCTAAAGAGAAAGTTCTCATGAATGGACAGCCCACTAACTGCTCCTCACTACCCAAGCCCAATTAGCCTAGGCTAATTAGCTGAACAGCTGGGGTTCTGAGATGGTGGGGGCCGGTGACCCAAAGCTGCTGCCAGCCTGCGTCAGAGGCTGTACCCCCACAGGGGAGAGGCAGGACCGAGAGGAGACTCAGCTCCAGACAAGCTGTCTCTGGCCTGCCAGCCGTGTAATCATCATCAAGGGGCAGGCACAGACGCCCTGCAGGCTGGCAGTAGTCTGTATGACAGGACAGCCAAAGTGATTAAATACGGGGGGAGGGTCCACTGATTCAGGCATGTGCAACCCATCCATTCTCTGGACCTCTGAAGCCCCCTTTTTTCCATCTGTAGAAAAAGATGACTTTGGTCTATTCACTGCTGGGAAAAGGAAGAAGTTGAGGACCGAAGCCCTGTAAAGCTCTAGGGTCGCTGAGTCTCCAGAAGTCCTTCAACTCTACTCTTGTGTGAGCAGGGCTAGAACCCACAAGTTTTCACAGATCTCAACGTAGGTGGCAAAACCTGGGGGAATGGGGGCTGGTGCTCCCTGAGGGCTCCCAGTGTTTTAACCCCCCGACTCCATTCCAGTCCACTCACTATTCCCCAGGCCCAGTCTGTAAAATTCTCCTTAAGTCCCTTAGAGCTACGATCCCCACGATCCCCACGATCCCCAATCTCCGGCCCTCTTAGGAACTGGGCCACACAGCAGGAGGTGAGTGGCAGGTGAGCGAACTAAGCTTCATCTGTATTTATAGCAGCTCTCCGCTGCTCACACCATCTCCTGAGCTCTGCCTCCTGTCAGATTCTTCCCCTCTCCCACCCCATTCCTGTTTATGGAAAGATTGTCTTTCATGAAACCAGTTCCTAGCGCCATAGAGGTGGCCTTAGAGCCATGAGATTAAGTCACAGTCGCCTCA